GGACCAGGTTGCTCATCCATTCAGATTGTTTGGTAGTAGCTGTATGAATCATCTGTGCCAAGTGCATGTTTGTTATGACCATAGGGGAGGGATCTCGGGAGCTTCTGGGTTTAACAGTCGCTACTTGTTAGTTCATTGAGAGAGTTGGAGGAGGAGGAGAAGGAACTGACGGGATATCAGAGGCAGCTCCTTCGGGAAGGTCATGATCAGGCCGGGGATAGAATCGTTCTACCGCTCGCAACCACGATCGTCGTTTCTCCGCTACATCATGAATCGTGTCCGTAATGTCTTCGCCTCCGTGACTGATATATTTCTTTGTATCCGTCAGGTCTAACTCAAGTGCTTTAGTGATGATAGCGGATAGCTGGTGCGTTTTAGGGGGGACCTTTTTCTGCAACTTACCTTTCATCGTCGGACTTCGTAGATGATCGATGAACAAATCTCGGGCGGACTTTTCATCTCGTCCTGATTTGTCCAACGTAGTTTTGAATCGATCCACGAAGTCAGGCAGCAATTCCCCTGGTTCTTGCGGTCGAGTCTTGAGCACATACCAAGCGGCATCTTCTCTGACCGTATCAAATCTGGCCAAGAATGCTTGCTTGAAGGTATTCCAATCTACCCACGCGTGTTTCCTAAGCCAATCATGCGCTGTGTTGCGAAGCAGCAAGGTGATGACGCGGGGAAGATCTCCCGCGCTATATCCTTGAGCTTCGACGGCTTCCAACCAAGCTTCGGGGTGGATGTGATTAGGAAAGAAAGGGAAAAAGGGACGGGAATACTAACAATCACCCTGGGGGGCGCTATGTTACCGTCTGCCATTGGCATAGCTGGTCTAACCACACCAGATCTAGATCTGGTCACCGGGCGGTCTCAATGAGCAGGTTGAGGACTTCTTCTACCTCTTGCCAGTTCGACTCACTATCATCAGAATCGACACATGTCGGCTCCGATACCAACCTCATGCTCTGGGCTGTCTTCCGTTCAGAGTGCTAAGAGTGCGGAAAGAAGGCCCAGAAAAACAGTAAGATGGGGTGTGCCAAGGATTTTTGGAAAATTGAGTGTGGGGACAGAGACAGAACTGAAATCCCCCGTGTTGGCCCGATGAAGTGAGTCGGTTGCTTTTGCGTGTTGCAGAATGCGCGCGCGGGCACGGCGCGAAAAGAGAAAAATCCAAATTCAATCCAAAAAGTATTGTCGAGCTTCCCACCGCGCTACGGATCTCCGTTTAGAGCGGAAGGGCTTCGGTACACTCCGCGTGTCCGGTTTCCGTATCACGTCCCGACGTCGCTTGTTGGTCAGTTCCGAGTCCGACGTGGATGGTCTCAGCCGCGTGGCTCTTTCCTTGTGCTCGTCTTCACTCCGTATCCGGTAGTGAAAGACCTTTGATTCGTAGCGGTCAAAACGCTGGCACTCAATGCACAGGGTTCGAGGCCAATGGGGCGCCACTGCCGTCCACGGAATGGCAATCAGCTCGTTAAATGGCAACAGTACTGAGTAGGGTGGAAAGTGCGTATCAATAATGACAAAGCCCGCATCCACGAACCCGGAACAACGATTTTCGGGAGGGAAGTAATATTGTCCGCCGATCCGTGCGACAGCTTCTCGCACGTGCCACTCGCATACATGTGTCCTTTCCTCGTTGTAAGGGAAGGGGCGCGTTGGCGAGGGAAATATGGGAGGCTGGCGCCCGATCGAGGAGCGACCGTTAGTCCACATATCAATCAATCGAAAGGAGTTTGCAAAAACCCTCGAGACGTCATCAAAAGGCACAATTGAAAAAGAACTAACTAGTATTTTTCTTCCTTTTGACACGAGAGAAGCATCCATGCATTGATCGGGTTGGAGTTTCGAGGGATCAAACCGCGACTCAGTTTCGGCAGACTAGATCAACAACAATACGAGGCGCCTGACTTTTTCGAGGCTGCCCCATAGACTGTCTGCAGATGTCGTGCAGCATAAGGCAGTTGACATGCGCAGTGCATTCAGAACGACAAATTTAAACACTCTTGCATTCTCGAACAAAATCCCATCGAGATCAGGGTCTAATCAACGCAAAAATTCACATACAAACATTTTCATGCATACATCCACTGTGGAAGGTGCAAAAATGTCAATGATGCATCTAAGACAAATCGGGGGATAGTACACACACATCCACCATTCACAAGACAAGAGGATTGAGCTCCCTTACATCCGGGGATTACCCGGAAAACTAATGGAAGAGTTCCAAAAGAAGTTTTTCTTCACAAGGAGTCATAAGAGTTCATATTGGGTCACAGGAGAGACAAACTCGTAATACATCGTMATTMAAATAARAGAGAGAGAGAGAGAGAGAGAGAGAGAGAGAGAGAGAGAGAGAGAGAGAGAGAGAGAGAGAGAGAGAGAGAGAGAGAGWCAAAGAATGTCGAGATAGGAGACACCGGGATCCGACAAAGGAACCTTCGGCTTTGCAGCCATGGACTCACACTGAAAAAAAGTGATCCGCAATGAAGGCGCATTCGCCGTGAACTCTCGTATGGCCCCAGGCCAATCATCCACTCCACTCTAATTATCGATCCTCATACCCGCACCGACGATCTCGGCTGTCGCGTGCTAACTTCCGCCACTGCGATCGCCACCCCGCTGACACAGACTCGACTCGGCTCGCCCGGATCCCACATTCCGTCGTGGCGATCAAGCGCGCAACCGGCCAGTGTATAGTCACCCCGACAGGACTTTTCGACTCGCACCAAACGCATCACCTAGCCACTGCTTCCCGGAAGCTGGCTTGCGAGTGAAAAACGTAAGAGAGATTTGCAGGCGCGCTTGGGGAATTTATAGTTGCGAGAAAGGAGATAGATGGGGAAGAAGACAGAGGGGAAATCGAAGTGTAAGAGGAGAAGGTTCAGTGAGGGGTGCTCAAGGGAAACCATGTTGATCCTTCAGACCCCGATTTTCGACCAATCAGATTCGTCGCGCAATAGGAAGATCCTCTTGCTCAACGCGTTTGATTGGTGAGCAGGGGTAGTTGGAGGATCAACCGGGCTTCGTGAGCCAAGGTTGAAGAGCGAGAAGGGGCGAGGCGTGAAAAGCAGCGCGAGACGGGTCCAAGATTCAGAGGATCAAGAAAGGAGAACAGGCGCGCAAAGAGCAGAGAGAGAGAGAGAGAGAGGGAAAAACAGTTGAGATAAGAGAAGAAGAGGAGGGGGAAGGGAGAGAGAAGAGAGCGCGGGGGAAGAAGGACGCGGAAAATAAGGAGGAGGAAGCTTGCATGCGCGGCGTCGACACCAAGAGAAAAATAAGGCACCAAAACAGTTACAGCTTGCCTATGTCCTACACCAATTCAAAAATTGAAATCACCATATCCGCGCGCGAAAGTCGACGCGAGAAAAGAAAGTCCTATGCCTATCCGTATCCTCACAAAATTCCTAGAGTTTTCTCTGTTGTGACCGAGAACATACATGCAAAGAAAAAGACACGTCGGGTTCCGCTTATTCCGAAATTCCTAACTGTCGAGCCCGATTCCCAATGCGCTCGCTCAGGCGCGCGTAATTTCCCATGCATTTCCCGAATTACAAAAAACAGAATTCCAAGAATCAATAGAACTTTCGAGAATGGGGATCCAAACAAGGCGCCTGAAATCAAGAAAAGCAACGGGGTTTTTGTGGGGTCGGTATGATACAAAAAGGGGGTATTGAGTCAAGGGGTACGAAAGATAGCACGGGGTTGGGAAGTGGTTCGTCACAGACTCTTAGGTGGGATGGTAGGCTAAGTAGGAGTTGGGCTTTGATTAGGCATAGGAGGTATCTTTCTCTCTCATTCTCTCTCTCTCTCTCTCCCCCCCCAACTCTCCCCTTCTAGCCTCGTATTCTAAGTCTAAGCTTTTTGTGATGCCACTGCCCTTTCGGCTCATCTGTAAAGTGGGTTATAACTTCAATTGTTTAACTGCCCTAATGCGTGCATAGATAAAGTTTGTCTGTCTATAGCGGCCACGGCGCATGCCGCGTAGAGGTTGGCGCACCAACATATCCTCTGAGGGCAACGGCCTATCCCACTAAGGTTATTTCCGTTGACACAACATCACTTTGTGTGGCCTATGAGGTTATTTCCTGGCACAACATCACTTTGTGCGGCCTATGCAAAGCTGAGCAAATACCCTTGTAAGGATATTAGTTCCCGCAACATGCTCTGAATATGCTCGGGTAGGTACATGTGGCCGGTGGGGGTTGAACCTTGACCTGCTGAAGGCCATTTGTGTTATTATTATGAACTGAGCTAGGCCGGTGACTGCCATCTGGCAATTTTTGGCACCTGCGGAGTGGGAGCTTGGATGTGTGATCATATCTACTAGACTACCCCAAGGAGCAATGTTGGCTGTGGAGGGAGGCCACAATCACTCAGTAGGGTCACCGTCGGGGGCTCTGTTCGGTAAGCTCATTACTTAGGCGAGTTTATTTACCCACGCTGTGAGCTTGCAAGTGAGAACGGTGGTTTCAATTCCATAATGAGGTGTTGAGAATCCCCAAAGAAATCGGCGAGCCCGATCCATGCCCGACTAGCGGGGGCCAAGTCCCACTTACCTGGATTCTCAATTCCTGACCAGCGATTAGCAAGATCGACGGCCAGAAATGAAGAATCAGCGTAAGTGGGACTTGGCCCCGGGGGTTCAGTTTAGATTTCGAGTATTTTTGAACGTGGTCACAGTTCTGCCTTCAGATTTTCATATGATGGCAGGAACCCCTGCGTATTGGAAATTGTGAACGCCCATGGTGGGGCATGGCCCCCCTGCCAGTTTTTCTCTTTTTTGGGGAGAGGGTGCGAAGGAGGGTTTCAGTTTCCATTCCAGAGCGCAGTACCGCAGGGACTTTCGGATTCAACAACCCCAGAAACGGGAAGCTGCTAGGTACCCGAATTGTCGGGATGGGCCTCCATAACCCTAAATCCAAACGGAATGCCGTCATGTCATGGTGATCGAGCGTGATGTGGCGCGGGCAGGTCGGTTTTAGGGTTTCGAAGGGCGTTCGTGCGCTGCACGACTACCCAGTAGCGGGTTGTCTGAGGACTGGTGGCCTTGGAGTTCAGGTTGGATTGGATGAGTGGCCTGTCGCCACAAACGTTCGACTGTTTTCCTCGTTTTTCAATTCGGTCGGCTCTGGAAAAGCGAGAGGAAGTAGCAAGTGTAGCGCAACTTGATCTGGCATCTCGTACTCCCTTCCCGCCCTCTCCTTCTTCTCGTCTCTCGCTTCTCTTCGCAGGGGAGGGAGAATCATGTAGTCGGAAGCGGGGACGGCGAAGTGGACGACACGAGCCGTTATCCCAGAGGCAGTTCGGTAAAGAGGAGGCGGGAGAGGGCGTAATTCTGTGTGGTGTATGCGAGGGTGGGGAGGGCGTAGCTCAGGCAAGAGAGAACTCTTAGTCGGTCACGTGAAGCAAATCGCTGTGCGGACGCAGGAGAGGAGGGACATGCGTGGGGGCGGGAACGCACACGAGAGGGGGCGTTTTGGAGCGCAGAGTCCGTCACTCGAGACCATGCTTCTGTCTCGCCGTAGCAATGTGACATCAGGTGAGTTCGCCACGCCGCCACAGACGAACTCGAACCCTCTCTGCTCCTGTGGTCCTTGAAGTGCTGCAAAAACATGCCAGAATGCCAACTGATGAGACTCTTGCCGCTGTGGAGCCACAGTCGGAATAATGCATCCACCCAGACGTTGACCAGAAGGCCAGGCTGTTTCTAACGAGGTGGGGCTCGGGACTCGCGTGCTAGCCGCGCGGACGTCCGGTGCGCGTCTCTCTCTCTCTTTCTCTCTCTCTCTCTCTCTCTCTCTCTCTTTTTGTGTCTGCCGCTCTTTCTCTCTTTCTTTGTGCGTGGCTGTGTGTAGGGGGCACGAAGTTGGCCGACCTGGTGAAGGGAAGAGGCGTCTCCTGAAGCCGATTTCGGCGCGCAGTGAATATCAAGGTGAGGAGAGCAGAGGACGTGTTTGGGGGGAGGGGGGGGCGGGGGGAGGGGGGGGGGGCGAAGTGGAGGGGGCAGCATCGATAGAAGAAGAGCTGTGGTAAGTCGAGCAGGGAGGACTGGGAAAGGGGGGAGAGATGGGGGATTATGGCTCAGACACGCAGATGCGGAGGGACATGGGTGGCCCTCCAGGAAGGAGCCGAGCGCAGAACAGGGCGACTATTCAGCAGCTGAAGCTCATTGGGCAGAGCCACCCAACTGGACTGACGCAGAACCTGCTCAAGCTTTTTGAGCCGCGTCCTCCTCTGGAGTTCAAACCGCTGCCTGAAAAGCCGCCATGCGCGCCGTACTCGGGTATCGCGCAGTTTGTAAGCCAATTCTCGGAGCCCGGCGATGCCGAATATTCGCCGCCCGTGACGAAAGCAGAAACGCCCTCTCAGAGAAGGGCAAGAATTCACAACATGCGATTGGAAAAGGGCGCGCAGAGGGCGAGGGAAGAGCTGGAGAAATACGATCCCGGCTCCGATCCCAACGTGGAAGGTGACCCGTTCAAGACGTTGTTTGTTGCGCGTATCAGCTACGAAACGACGGAGCACAAAATTCGGCGCGAATTCGAGGCCTACGGTCCCATAAAACGGATTCGATTGGTGCACGACAGGGTCTCAGGGAAGCCCCGCGGGTATGCCTTCATAGAGTTCCATCACACTCGGGACATGAAGACGGCGTACAAACAGGCGGACGGGAGGAAGATAGACAACCGCCGCGTTCTCGTGGATGTGGAACGAGGACGTACTGTGGCCAATTGGCGGCCCAGGCGTCTGGGGGGAGGGTTGGGGTCCACGCGCGTGGGCGGAGACGAGGTCAATCAGAGGCACACTGGTAGAGAGCCGCCATTGATAACCGCAAGAGACGACGATCGGCCGCGTGACCACGACAGAGGAGGGTTCGACAGGGATAGGAAATTCGAGGGAAGGGGCGGCGACAGAGAGCGGCCGGGCCGGCGTGACTACGATCGGGACTACGATCGGGATCGGGACGACCATTCGACGAGGGACAGAGAGAGGGATAGGCATCGGGACTATCACAGAGAAAGGGAGCGGGATAGGGGGGATTATGACAGGGAGCCGCGGGAGGGGAGGGAACGCGAGAGAGATTACGACAGGGAGGGAGGAGGGCGGGAGGGTCGGGACCGCGACTCCCGGGATGTCCGGGAGTCGCGGGAGCGGGAGGGAAGAGAGGGCAGAGACAGGGACAGGGACCGCAGGCGGTCCCGCTCGGCCGACCGGGAAAGGGAGCGCGAACGGGACCGAAGGTGATGGTACGAGTACCACTGTCGTAATCACGAAAGATGGGCGGAAGGACGCGATGACGACGGGCATCGTGACGTCGCACATGCGTTTCTTATTATTATCATCATCATCATGGTGGGAGGAATCGTTGACAATGTTTTTTCGAAGTCGGCTCTCTCGGAAAGTAAGCAGTGCTATCGCATAGCTAGTTTTCTAGGACGAGGAGGGCAGGCAGCAGCCGCGGCCGCCGCAGCAGCAGCACGGGATCGCATGCCTCCAAGCCTCGATCTTGCCGCCGCCGGTTGTTAGCGTGTTTTTTTTTTTTGTTTGTTTGTTTGTTTCTTTTTGGTCTTCTTGCAAGTCGATTAGTCAGGATCCTTCTTTCGTTGTGTGCGCGCTATCAGCATCTTAGGAGGACTCAGATTGTATCATCATCATCCGTCGCCCCCCGTATTCGAGTCAGCAGTATTTTGCGCGGACAAGGCAGCCGTCCGTCCCTCTCTTACGAGGGGTCTGTGGCTGCCGCAGAACCGGGGGGGAGGGGGGTAGTCGTGAAGGAGGGTAGGGTGTGGTATTTGGGA